TCTTGTTAATTCTAATGTCTTCGAGAAGGGAGTGAAATTTTCCTTTGGGGGCGGGCGCTGAGATAGGATGAAAGGGAATTCAGGGGGAAAAGGCGCCAGGGTAAAGGGCTCTGGAAGTTAACTAAATTTGTTCTGCTTCAGCTGGCCATGGGAATCTCATTTTAACATATCAGACCCAATATGTTAATTAGGCAGTCGCAAATCCAACCTGCTCCTTGTAAATCAAGGCACCGGAAAAAGAAATTCAAAGTATCTATTATACAGAGACAAAAAAAAAAAAAAAAAAAAAAAAAAAAAAAAAAAAACCGCGCAGAGGAGCCCCTCTCCGTGACGTGACGGAGACAATACAGCTGGAGAGAACGTTGGGTGGTGGCTATCGGTTTAGCCAGGTTCTGCTAGATATAAAAATGACTTCTTTCATGGATTTATTCTGCTACATAAAAGCACGCCCTGGCAGTTAAACACCATATCTCAAGACACACACCCGTGACAATATATTCCCTTTCATGCAAACCAAGTTCCAAGAAAACTCCATTTCAAGTCAAAGTCTCCAGATGCGTAATTTACAACTACTAAAAAGATCTGGCAAGCTCCTCCACAACAAGGAAAGAAAACAACCTGGCACCAGAGGTAGAAAAGGGTAAAAAAGATCTTTGGTTTAAATGATGGGTGGAAACCAAACACCCACTCACACTCCACAATCTGGAGAGGGTTGGGTACCAAATGGTCCGTGGCAACCATAGCCTGAAGGAAACAGAATTTTGATCTCTGGCATCATCAGACAGGTTCCACACGCCTAGCTCTCAAAAAATATCCTCAGGGTGGAGCACATCCATATTCCCAAAGCTTTCACTACTAGATTAAGTGCTCAGGTATAGATGTATATTTCACCTACTAGAAATTGTATTACAAAATCACAGAGCAGGCGCCCTTGGATACTCAATCCTTCCCAATGATTTTCAAAACATTAATAAGTAAAGTAGCCTGCAATGCAGATAAGACACTAGAAACAAGATCTAAAGGAAATTGGGTGAGGCGAGTAATCCTTGGCTTGTTACCTGGTGCCTCTAGGGGAAAAGACGGTCGTAGGAAGACTTTCTGCCTGCAGGTACAATCCCGGCAAGGTGGCTCCAGGTGGCTTTCACAGTCGTACGCGTGTCTCGCTCGTCACTTCGCTGCCCTTTGCCATAGCTCAGCACCCGCATCCTAGGGAGTCGGAAAGGCAGCTCCTGCCACTGCCGCCGCTGCCCGCAGGTCGCGCTGGGTGGGGGATCCGCTGCAATCGCCCCATGAAACCCGCGGCTCCGCGCCCGGGGAGCGGGCAGAGGCAGGGCGGCCGCGCACGCACACACAGACACACGCTCACACTCACACACACTCGCACCCGGGCGCGCGCGCACTTGCACTCACACTTACACACGCACACCCGGCACTGCACGGGGAGGAAGCAGCACGGAGGGAACCGGTCCTTCTCACGATTGGCTTCGAAGCCCACAGGACCGCGGGCAGCAAAGAGAGCGTTCTCGCATAGCCCTTTAATCACGTTTCCTTCAAGTTCTCCTCCAACCCGAATCCACGTAATTCAAGAGCTGGTGACATTTTGGTGGAGAGGAGGGAGCCGAGAAAGGGCTGAGGAAGAGTCGGGGATTTTGTTAAGCAGTTTGATAAGCAATCCTCATTACCTTTTTTGTTTTGTTTTGTTTTGTTTTGTATAGCAAACCAGTTCGAAGGGCTGAACTTTTGGCTTCAAATGCTGTGGACCAAAACGTAAATATCTTTCTGGCCAAGAGAAGAAGGTGTAGATAAACGGAAACAAGAGGGCTGCAAGACCCTCTATTGACCTTGTGATGTACCTGGAAGCAGGTCAATACTGGCGCTTTCCAAGCTTCTGGATAAAGCGATCCACACACCTGGGTCCACAGCCCAGCAGCCGCTCCAAATCCAGCCAGGAAAATGGGTCTGGGCGTCCTCAGAGCTCTGCAAGAACCCGGGCACGAAGGGGCATCGCCGACTTAACACATTTGCTTCTGGGCAGTTGGATAAAAGACAGTCAAATGCATCAGATAGGCGCGCGCGTACACACACGCGCGCACACACACACGCAGCTAGCTGGAAAGCGGCTTACAAAACACTAGAGACATGCCAAGATGACTTGAAAAGGTAGCCAACATCCAGGATCTTTCCGGAAAACAGAAGGGCCAGCAGGGAGGTTATCAAAGTCTTCTCAAGTCTTTCATTTCTTCCTCTCTCCTGTGAGTGTGTGTGTATGTGTGTGTCTCCAGAAGGTTTCGTTGGTCTGCCCCACCCCCGTCCAGTTGCGCTTTTTTTCCTGATATAACCGACGGTGCAAAATGAATTATATGGGTGGGCTGTGCTCACAGCCCAGAGCTCCCCAAAGTCAAGAATCCTAAGGGAGCTGCCAGCTGCTAAACAATTCACATTCTCAAGGGAAGAATGAAAAACACGCGCAAACACGCGCACACACATACATAGTCCTCCGTTCGGGCAGCTCTGCACACGCTCACCGCCTCCCTGCGCGCCGCTGCACACAGCGCCCCGCCCGCTGGCCACCGCGCTGGGGCGAGTCCGCAGTTCAGGCGCGAGGCAAGCAGCCGAGGTCCGGGGCTGCGGCCGCGGCCGGGGCGGACCCGGGAGCCAGGCTTCCCAAGGCTGTGCGTGTCGGCAACGGCGGCCTCCTGGCCGCGTGGAACTGAGCCCCGCGCTGCAGCATGGAGGCGGCGGCGGCCGCGGCGGCGGCGGCGGGCGCGCGGCCGTGAGCTCGGCCCGCGCCGCAGTGACGGGAGCGGCCGTGTCGGCCAGACCCCGAGAGTCCGTGAGACCCCGGCCGGGACCGGTCAGCTGCTCTCAGCCCTCGGGCCTCCCAGCCAGACTAGTTCTGAACCGATTTATCTGGGGGGTGCGGAGAGGGCGGGCGAAGCGCCGGGAAATCCCCAGGCTGAGGAGGCGCGGGGGCGTTGCAGGAAGGGGGAAGGGAAAAGGCAGAAAACCTGGAGGATGAAAGCGAACTTCCAGGGGCGTCCCCAGCCTCCTGCAAAAGGGCAATTTGCTGATCGCCCACTTCCTCTCGGTTGTGGGATAGAGAGAATCATCACTGAGTCAAGCTTCGGCTGCTTAGGGAGGTGGGAAAAGGCATTAGTTATAATAACCCGCCGGAAATTTTGAGAAGGAGAGCTACTGACTTGGGGGTTTCAGTCATCTGAGGCTGGCTTCCGCTGTCCCCTTAGTTGTGGGTGGTGATTTGCTTACTAATCAGATGGGAGCGGATTCTGTAAAGAACATTTATATTTGGGAATCAGCTCAGCATCAGACATTACGAATACTGCAGTTTGTCACATTTTAGTATGTCAAGGGCAGAAAGGGAGCCCAACAATCTTCATAATCCAGACCTGGTCTGTAAGGTCACCGGTACAGAAGCAGGGTCTAAAGCAGAAAAGAGGTGCGACTGGAAAGGAGGTTAGACAGGGCCCTGCGGGAATGGATCTGCCCGGAGCCCTCGCCTGGTTTTGCTTTAGACTCCGACAAGACTCCCAGTGCTTCTCTCCCCGACCCTATATCCCCACTCCGCCCAGCCTGAAAAAGCCAGTAAGCAAAGTTAACTCTTTCTTCTAAAGAACCCTAAGTGAAATCTTGCTCTTCTTTTCTGCTAAAATCCTGAAACCCTTTCGCTTCTCATTGTGGGTTCACCAGCACGTGGTCTTCGGACACTGCGCGCACCTTCGCTCTCAGCTCTGATCCTAGCTAGCCCAGACACCAGTCTGTACCCCCAAAGGCAATGGAAGAGTAGGAAGTTGCAAAAAGGAAGCTGGCTAACAAGGGTTTCTTCTGCCCTATTTGGCAAAGGCCCATGCCGGTGGCCTCCATGGATAGGGAGCTCTTTCGTTTTGTTCCAAAAAGCTTTGCCAGGCTTTACCATTGCCCTGGAAGTGCACAGGCGCGCGTATACTCGAGCACAACCTTGGGCTCACCCCAAAGGCGCACAGCTGCACCCACGGGTAAGAAAGACCCACACAGCTATCTCTGTAGGGGAAGAACCCGAGGAGTGAAGTGCTTTAGGTGGAAACTGCTCACATCTCCTTTCTTTCCTCTGCTCCCCTTCTCTGCCCCTGGTACTCCCGATCCAATCCTGGGCTTAGGAATCCACTCAAGCCACGTCTGGCTGCTTTGCTTTCCAGAGTAGCGCAGCTCCGGGACTGCACTTCTAGCCCTGCAGCCTCCCTCCAGGACTGCGAGCGGCGCCAGATCCGGGACTTCGGGGTCTCCGCGGGAGCTTAGGAGGCTCAGGATTTGAGTTGGAGAGCTGGAGAGCCAAAATCCCAGCCGCCGGGGGACTGCGCAGTAAGACCACAGAAATAAACCAAAGGGACACCGCGGACAGATGTACCAGAGGACACCACTGAAGTCCAGGAGAATCTTCACCAAAGCCATCAGCGTTTTCCTTGTAGCTTTCTGTCCCTCGAAGTGGAAAATTGAGGTTTCTGAGAAGTCCACGGAGAGAACCTGCAGCAAACTGAAGCCACAGACTCCGGAGGCACAGGGAGAAATAATGCTTCCATCCTCCTTTCACTTTAAACTTGATCACTTCTGGGACTTCACTGGAGGGCGGTGGAGTTGCACCAGCCTGGAGTACAGGCAGATCCCAGTGAGCACTTCCAAGTACTTTAGGACGTGGGGGTGACTCCGTTTTCTTAAGGATTGTCCCACTTGCCATCCTTTCCAGCCGAGCTGATAGGAACCAATGAAAGTCTAGGCGATAAGGATTTTCCGTTACCTCAGGGATCAAAGTGTAAAGTGTTGAATGAGAAACCCAAAGACCTTGCATCGCTGGGCTGAATAACTTTCTGTTTTCTTTTTTATGTTGTCCAGACTGAGGTAGGGAGGGGACACACTAAGCTAGCTGTAAGAATTCAAGGGTTGGGAGAAAACAAAGTTCAAATACTATACTGGAATTTTGTGTGTGTGTTCTCGTTTTAGAAACTGTGTGGGGGGCGGGGTGGGGGACAGCTTGAGAAAGATGAAATCGACGTTTCCTTAATGCTGGGAGTAATAATGCTTAACTTTTCATTGTTCTTTCAAGCCCTACCAGGCCCAGGAAAACACCTTCTTTCTGTTTCCTGTAGCCTTCCTGTGTATCATGCATTATATTTGAAAGTGCCTTTCTCTACTTTCCTCATTTTATCTCAAAAATCTCTGCTACAACCAGATAACTTTCACTCTCCCGGTTCAGCATTTGCTCTTTTCCCTCCTACATAAGCTGATCAGAATTTGCAAAGAGAGGGGAAGAGGAAAGCTTCTATTTTGTTTCATGATTGTTGCTAGAAAACGGCAAGACCTCGGGAGAGACACCAGGATATTCTTTCCCAATGGAGGTCAGAGCTAGCAAAGTTTTTTTTGTTTTGTTTTGTTTTTTCTTTAAATTTTATTCCCCAGCAGGTCAAAAACTAGGATGTTTGCAAAAAGAATTTCTAATTTGCTCATAAAACTATTGTTATTAGCCACTCTGAGGTTGGCATAATTTTAAAAGTTCAAACAAGTTCCTTGTAGAATAGGGTTCCTTTAAACATTGACATTTAAAGAGAAGTAATTTTTTTCATAAATAATTTAGATTTAACTCGTTACCTCTATAGAATATCTGCCTTACTTTGTTAATGTGTCCCCTGATGTACTCCATATGTCAAATCACTTTTAAGATAATGTCGATTTTCTTGTTCTCCCAGGTCATTTTTCTGAGGGCCAATGGTGATAAGTGTTGGTCTGCCTATTTTCCTGGAATAATCCACGATTTGGGGAAAGAAAGAGTATTTTGCTAATTTCAGGTAATTAATGGAGATGTGAATGTTTTTCAGTTAAAGTGATGAATAGCAAAAGATAACATGAGTTTCTCTTTATATTGTTATTTAATATTTGAGTTTCTCTTTAAAGTAATAAAAAAGTTATGATCTAATTTTTTTAATGGCGTTAATTAGTTTGCATGAATTGTGAATTTTATTTACATGGATTAAAGCATGTGCTAAGTTATCACTTTAATTCATTAATTTGTTTTATATATAACTGAAGAAGCTTATTGTAAATTGGAAATACCTTAACTTCAAATTTCCTGGGTGAGAAATCACTACTGAGTTACAAGCCTTTGATTATTTTTACTAATATAATGTAATATAATATAATAAGTTATCTGACAGTTCAAAACTGGAAGTTGGTATGAAGAAACAAGGAAATACAAGTTTCTGAAATGAAGGGATATCATTAAAAACAAATCCGAGTTAAACAGAATAAACGAAATCCAAACATTGAAGTTTTTTATAAATCTACCTAGTTTTGAAATATAAAAAGAAGTGTGCTTATATTAGGAGCATATTTCCAATGTTGCAACTGACCTTGAAGTCCTAGAATACAGTGTATTTTAGCAACTAGATCTCACTAAAAATATATTTCAGCTGACTTCAAAACAAAGTTGAAGACCCCAGCATATTTCTAGCATACATAGGTAAACAGATTTCTCATTGGAACACAAAGAACCAAATGTATTTAGTATTTAATCTTCTTTTGAGTTACAGAAATATTTTTTTCTTATTTTATCATTTCTTGATTTTTTAAACTTGATTTATATAAAACACATTTCCTTTCCTTTCTTTCTGTATCTCTGTCTTTTATGTTAACCTTTATAGATCATAATAGTGAACTAAAAGATCAAGGTCTGCTTGATGAAAACTGGAACTAGCACTGAGAACCCAATACATTACCGGATGGAAGTGGACATTTATTTTACTAAGAAAAATGGGTTTTGAACCTAATTTTTTGAAACAAAAATACAATGTGTTATATCCTAAATATAATCTCTCAGCAGAGAGTTTTTGAGAGAGATCAAAGGAAAAGAATTATTTCAGAGATAAGCATTGCTGTAGAGAAAGGACAATTCTTAATACTGAAAGTTAGAAGTAAATTTTATCTTTCATCTCCATTAATATTTTTTTCTTGCTTATTTGCTTACACCTTGATGTCAACTCCTCACATTTGTCTGCTGCTCCTATTTAGTTACCCAAGAGCTCCAAAATGCACCATGCTATCGAGGACTATCTAACCCAAAGAAGAATTCTATGCTATTACAATTCAATTTCTACTTCTCACCAAAACTCCCATTAAGGCATAGTAGACAGATCTAGTTGAGCTTTTAATAAAAAATAAATTATATCAGACTAATTTAAGCTAAAGTATGAATGACTAGCAGCCTACATCAGGAATATGAAGCCACCTTAATTTATAAAAAGTAGACTTTCTAGCAAAGTATGTTAATACATATGGGAAGCAGGGCCACCTCAATTATTCTTACCTTGTATACCAAACTGAATGATAAGCATGGTACTATATTTTATATTTTCCCTTTTTGTGTTTTGATAATGCTGTTGAACAACTATTCACACCTAGCTTTAGCCTTTGAAAGAAATATTTTTAAATTTTACGTGTGTGTATAGCTAGCATTTCAAAAAGATCTCCACTAAGTAGTGAAACTGTTTTCTAAATGAATCTAGTCGTAAAGCAATTATCTTAAAAATAAAACATCAGAATAATTGTTATCATGACTTGATTTAGGAGTACAGGTAGGCACACCAAATCATATTAGGTAGAAATAATAAGCTGTTTGAATGTCTATGGCATTCATTTTTTCAACTTACTTACGTTAAAAGCCTGATTAAGAACTGTTGTCATGCCAGACTCCTATTAACACCAATAGGGATGACATGTGACGTCGTGTCTGAGAGGCAGAAGGAGAGACCCAGAGTCAGTGAATCAGACACAGAGTTTATTGAGGAGTTATATACAGTTCGGGCCAGGAGTGGTGGGCTAGACAGGAAAACTGCTACTGTTTATAAAAAGCATTCAGGATATGTAGTGTTTTCATTTAGGAATCTCTAGCTAGCAACCTACGTTTTACCCGAAACAAACATCCTCAGTCCCCTTTATGGCCTGAGTTCCAAGGTATGGGCAAGGGGTTCAGAAGTCCCCCATAGTTAAGGAGTGAATCTCTAGGTTGGCCACTGCTGAATTTCTTAGGTCCGAACTCCAAACAAACCTTCTTCTTACACCATAGGGACCTTCTCAGGGTATGCTTGAGTTATTGCTATCAAGTGCATCTGCCGTACAATGACATAACAAATATTTGGCTTTTTAGCTTTAGTTTGACAGGTTTTCTTTTTTTTAACTTGTTTTTTCTTTTATTATTTATTTATTCATTCATTCATTCATTTATTGAGATGGAGCTTTCACTCTGTCACCCAGGCTGGAGTGCAGTGGCACGATCTCAGCTCACTGCAACCTCTGCCTCCCAGGGTCAAGCGATTCTCCTGCCTCAGCCTCCCAAGTAGCTGGGATTACAGGTGTCTGCCACCACACCCAGCTAACTTTTTGTATTTTTAGTGGAGACTGGGTTTCACCATGTTGGCCAGGCTGGTCTCAAATTCCTGACCTCAGGTGATCCACCCTCCTTGGCCTCCCGAAGTGCTGGGATTACAGGCGTGAGCCACCGCACCCAGCTTTTAACTTTTATTTTCAGTTCAGGAATATATGTGCAGGTTTGTTACATAGGTAAACTTGTGTTATGGGGGTTCATTGTACAGATTACTTCATAACCCAGGCCTTAAGCTTAGTACCCATTAGTTATTTTTCCCGATCCTCTCCCTCCTCCCACCTTCCACTCTCACAAAGGCTCCAGTGTATGTCGTTCTCCTCTATGTGTCCATGTGTTCTTATCATTTAGCTCCCACTTATAAGTGAGAACATGCAGTATTTGGTTTCCTGTTCCTGTATTGGTTTGCTACGGATAATGGCCTCCGGTGCCAAATTAGAAAACTGAATCTGTCTTCAAGGTTGAGGCAGATTCAGCTTCTTAATTATTCATCTTGAAAATCTGTCCTTGAATTTCAGGCAGGTGGCCACAAGTCGGCAGTAATGTGACACTCTCACGTGGTTGTAACCACATGGTTGGACTTTCTTACAAGCCCCCATAGATTTAGAAGGAATAATTAATTTTAATTTATTTTATTAAAGATCTGTTTTATTAAAATAAATGATGTGTGGTAAGTTTTATTTACATGAAATCAGATCATTTCTTTTGGAGCAATCATTTTTAACAAATTTCTAAAACATGATTAGGTAATTTGCCTTTTAACCTCTTCACTGGTTCTTTTTCTTTTCCCCTTTAAATCACGGCCTGTTTAGAGAGAAGACTGAGTTACTGTTTTTTTTCTTTTTTTTTTTTTTTTTTTTACTGATGTTTTGCTTCCATAATATTCCTGGCCCTGTAACTGACTGCAGTCTTTTGGCTAGCTTGGTGTTAAAGTTCTTTTGGATTTATATCTCAGCTCTTAGTGACTGTGACTTCTGTAATGAAAGGGAATCCTTTCTGCGACTGGTTAGCATCAAACTTCTTTCTCCACAAAGGTCCTTTATTTCTCTGCTTGCAGTTTTGTTCATTCCATGTAAATTCTTTGAATGCCTTGTTATAGCACTAAGCACTGGAGAAAGAAGACTGACCATAATTTTCATGGCCTCTGTCCCTCATAATAGAGCTTACTATCTAGTAGAGGTTAATAGACCAACAAATTAGTTGTTACATTATGATCTTGCTTTTATTTTGCCAACTACAATTTGTTATCAAGCCCAAGTGTGTTCTTTTGTGAGACCTCTGGAACCACCTCCTATTAACTCCAGTAATAGCTTCTCTATTGCACTTAGTTTCTGGTTTATTTTTCCCACATCCATTCTAACTGCCTTGGGAGGTAGTCTGTGAAACGTCTGTATGAAGTCTTTTACTGCAGTACCAGGTATAGCCCAGGGTATTACTAAACAAAGTTTTGGAATGAAACAAACCTGGGTTTGAGTCATGGTTCTGAGATTCACCGTGTTACTTTTGTAAATTATTTACTCACCTGAATCTTCAAGTTTTAATGCATGTCAAATAGAAGGGAGAATATTTATATTTAGGGTTGATTGACAGTTATTAATGACTACCTGTATATAAACTACCCAGCAGAAGTAGGTAATCCATAGATAACATTTCTGTTCCCTGTCATTAGTCTATCTTAAATTGTGTATGAATGTCTAATATCATATTAAAGCATTGTACCGATAACCCAGTTTCTCAAAATAAACTACTTTTTAATCAAGAAAATCTGCTCATAAAAACTTCTTGAGATAAAATCCTTGAGAAGACACCTAAAATATTCTACTGATGTTTTTATTTTCCCTCATATTATATATATTATGTAATATATGTTATCCATTATATATAATACATATACCAAATTATATATTAATTCAAACATGAAATTTAAGCGAAATTTTCAATATCCAACTTGTTCTCCTCAGATGCCATTTGTTCTCAAAATGCTTTTTAGAAGTTTTGTACCTTAAATTATCTCCCCTTTAAAAGGGCTAGTTTTAGAATGAAGTAATCAAAGAAGTTTCCTTGGATTTTATACAGCTGGTCTTTGGCTTTCAGACTAGTTTCTCTCTCTCTCTCTCTCTATAGGTATATATACACACTCTCTCTGTCTCTCTCTCTATATATATATGTATATATCAAGTCCAAGTTTGTTCTTTTTTGAGACCTCTGGAACTACCTCCTATTTACATATACACACAAAGAATCTCCATCATTAGGTATTTAAAACTCATCAGAGGGAAAAATATTACACTAATTGTTACAAATATTAAGAAATTTGTTGAAAATAAAAATAGGGTAATATGAAAATAAACATAGAAATATTAAATATAGATTTTAAATTATTTACCATCCGTTTATTAAAATAATCATGAA